TGGGCACATAGTCTTTAGCCCAGAATGGTTTATGTTGAGCTCTTTTAACAGAGAGAAATCTACTGGCAAAACATTAGACCAAATTTGTCACAAACTCAAACCCTCCAGGCAGACAATGTGCCTATTATACAAGTAAAATATGTACTATGCAAAAGGCACAAGGTACTTATATGCCCAATAGTATAAGAAATACAGTAGAAGATTGAAAAGAGAATGATTATGACTAAAGACTAGAAGACAGGGATTTCGACAAACTTTATAATCACTGAAAATAGCTGGGATAGAAAAACATCATTACTAGGTTTAAAATGAAGGCCTAATACATTTTACTAGAGTGCCCTGTGTGCCTCACAAATGAAGACGATGATCAAGGCTCGCGGGCAATAATATCAACTCTTCCACTGAATAAAAACAAGGATGTTTTGCATCTATTCTTTGTTCAATACAAAATTCTCAAGGACAGGACAAACACAACAGACGTGAAGAAACTTTTACATAGTATTTGATCCATACCCGCTGAATCAAAGTGTCATAAAGGACAATACGCTTGTTCTAGAAGAATCCATATAGTTAGGCCTGCATGATGTTGAAAACATTAAATCATAAGTGGGATGAAAAGTCACTTCTGCAATCAGTCTCAGTGTGAATAAGTAAAGAATATTATCAAACTGAAAACAGACACAGTTTGCTTATTCTCAATGCCATCTGACAGTGACACGTTAAACAATTCATGACAATAATATTCCCAGTGTATGTATATATCATACACACATAGCAGCCACGAGTCTTTAAAGTAAGATAATAGAAGTAATGAGTATTAGACTATAGATCAAACCTTTAAACAAATTGTTTTGCAGAAGAAAGACACGATGTAATCTTAAATGATGGAATATGAAAACAACACAACAGTGAACCAACCAATGACACATTGCTATGGCTTGATCTTTTGGATCCATCAACAACAAACAATTTCTTTAAAGGAAAATTGAGGGAGGAAGCAAGCTTCTCAATCTTAAGCCTGAGCTCTCCATCAGGAAGCTATTTCCAAGCAATATAATTAAGACTTGGGAAAAGAAGGTGCTTGAAGGAAACTATGAGACGATGGTTATGAAGTACTCACAGGGGTGAACTTGTTAAAAGAGCGTTGCTATCAGAACAGGGTAAATTGTCATCATCACAAGAGAAAGGACAAACAAAAATGACCAAAGATAGACAGCCAGATATGGACCCCTTCCTGCAATTTCAGAATTAAGAATCACCGTGGTGAGAGAAGGGTGACATAATAGAAAAAATATTAGAGAGTAAATAAGATCATAAAGTCTTGTTGTTAAGATAACAGTTGTCTGATTATAATAGCATGGATCGGCAATGTTCCACCACAGAGCCGAATGCTAGAAATGAGCACAATTTTACCTGTACTATCCAAATGATAGCAGAAACGATGGGTGGACCAAGAACAATGGCAAGACACATTCCTTTGATAAGGTCCCTAATGAACAACCATATTGTCTGCTGAAAAAGAGAAATTTATCAGGAACAGAGAGATAAGTATAATAAAAAAAAAAGAGTAAACCAGGAAACAAAATGGTATGGGAAAGAGATTTAGTGATTAAGAATACAAACTTTATTGAAAGCCTGATGGGCCCCGATCACAAAAGTTGAATAAAGAGAAAAAGGGAGGTCGGTGACCTGCACTATAAAACAACAAATTAAACAGCCAATGCTATCTTCTTAAAAGTGATGGTTGTATAAAGAATCCTCAAATGAAATATTGTGAATTCACCTGTGACCATATCAGAACACCAGCCAAAAAACGAAAGAGTGAGCAGTACTTCATTCTCTTTGTTTAAACAAGCTAAAGGCAAGAAATTTCCAGATTTCTGCAATAAATAACAATCAAACATACAAGATAGTGAAAATCAACAAAAAGAAGGATCCATTAATTAAACACCAAACAACTCACCTTCCAAAACCAAGGCAATATGCCAAAGAATATAATTGCAACATCTATCAAGATTGTAAAAAACTCATGAACAAAATGGAAGTGGCTGAAAAGTAAGAGATGCATTATGGTTAATGTAAAATCAAGTCAAAAGGAAGCTTGATTGGTCCCTAATGCTGTAATCTTGTAAATGATCAATAGAAACAACAAAACCAACCTCTTATCAAGACAATAGGCTCGAGACATTTTAAATTTCTCTTTGCTGATTACTCCCTGCAATGTTTTCGGAAGAGTAGGCAATTTGAGAGCAGCATGTTGCCGGAAGTCCAGGTAAGTTTCAAAGAGGTACATTAATAGCGTCAAACCTGTAAATAATAGAGGGTAAGTCTGGAAGAAAACAAAGAACAAAACACTGATAGTTACACACTCCAAGCATCAAGCATCAAGATCAAAACTTTCTTTAAGAACATAAACAACTGAGTGATTAACAAGTCTCACACATGTACTTTTCATAAAACATTCCTTAATAAACATAAAAAAGTGAAGCCCAAACAGGTTGAATTTCAGTGAAATGCAAAAGAGAGAAAAATACATACTTTCAGAGATTAACATTCTTTATCTTAAAAATAATTGGACCCAAGAACCAATAAGGTATATTCATTTCAACCAACAGTTTCCAGTTTCCAAGAACACAAAACATAAAAAGCCGCGACATGGCATAAATGCAAGTGAATATTTCGATTCTTGAATCGGAAAAAGATTCATTACATCACGATTGCACATTTACCTGCAACTCGCTAGCCTCTTAGTAGATAGACCCCCTTTCCCTTCCATCAATCACAAACATAATACTTACAGAGTTACAGAAACTATTAACATAATTCAACTCATTTCCATATATTTTCTCTATCTTTTATAGATGTGAAACGGGAAAAGAAAGGAAGAAATCAATAAAGAAGCTTGAAAGATGCCTACAAGCTAACTTCAAAGCCTAGATTTTTCAATCACAACCAATCAAGAAAACACGTTCATATGCATGGATACTAATTGAAACTGGGGAAAAAAGTATATTTTAATTAATCTGTTCTAAATTATACTGAAAAAAAAGAGCTTCGTAGTTTATTTCAATAACCGGAAGAAATGGATTCGAGCTCGAACAAAAGCAAGAATAAAAAGGAGAAAAGCGTACCTAGAACAGCTTCCATGCACGTAAACGCCATGTCGTATCGATGAAGAATCGGCAAATCCAGAGAGAGAACTATAGGAGGGGTTTTTGCTATGGTTTTAGTCTCTTCCATGTATAAATGGTCTCTATACGGGTACAGTTTTTAATACCCCCGTTCGACCCGACTATCACTATCCGTTTTGTTAGCTCAAAAATAAAAATGTTTACTATAGGTCATTAAACTATGCTAAACAAATCATTTTACTCACCAAACTTTCAAAATTTGCAAAATAGGTATTAAACTTTTTAAATAATTATAAAATAGTCATAAATTTATCGAACAAGTACAATTAATTATAATTTTTTCAAAAATCATTTTATAATAATTTAATAATTATAACGATCACTTTATAAGTTTTAAAGTTTAATGATTTCATTTTATAATTTTAGACATCATTTTAACATGCTTGTAATTTTTTATATAATGTAAGCAAAATACAAAAGTTGTGTTAAATTTATATAAATATGTAATTAGATAATTTTAAATATAAAAATAACATAAATATACAGTTCTGATGGGTCTGCATTTGCTCCGGCAGACATGCCTTTTAAGCATAAGAATAGTAGCTAGCTACCACCCAAGCTTCTTGCATGTACAAGATGCGTGGTCGCACAGTTATTACAAAAACCGAAACCGAGCAAACGACCTAGCGTTTGGATTTTTAAGAAGGGGAATAAAGAACATAACAATCAACAACATGCCAATATGGCAGGATATTCAAGTCTTAATTAGGACAAAAGTAAGATTTTATGCTAGGAATAAAACTATAGAATTTTAGAGAACATAAACAAATTATCATTAAACAGGCATGCACCACCAAGAATATGTCTCCATGCAACCAAGAACCAGTTCCCCACACCTTTGATCTGCACCTTCATGGATGACGAAAATAAAAAGAAGTTGAAATCACATGTCAATTTTGTCGAATTCACCTCAAAAGTCATTCATTTACACAAATTCCATTTGATTTTTGGATAAAAGACCCCAAAGTTTCCTCGTTGCCGTGATCAAGACTGCAGCTTCATTGAGAAATAAAGAGAAAAAAAGGAGAGATTTTTAGTGGATTACTCAAGTTTGATTTTCATTGGCCCAGTGACAGTTTTTTTTCTTTGATCCTCCCGTTTCTCACGGCTTCGAACTGACTTGGATTGCACACTTAATTTTGGTGAGTGTCTCCTAATAGAATTTTTTTACATACACTAAAACTCAAACTCAAAACTTACTTAAATAATATTAAACTACTTACTACTTAAACTATCAATTAATTGTCCCAGTGACAAAGTTGCCTTTGGCTGGTTTGAGCTCTCCACTTGTAAAATGCTTTGAAAATATCATACCAATGAAAATTGAAGTGTACACCTGCCACTGTTCAACGTTAACATGTGTTGAGATACTGTTACAGATAACAAACTTAATATTTTGATAATTAATATTTAAAACTTATATTTTATTAAACACAATTTGTAGATTAATTTCCTTTTACATAGAAAACCTATTTTAATACCCGAAAACAACAAACACTGATTAATATAGAAAAAGAAAGGATCCAAATGATTTTTAGTTGTTATATAATTTCCATTTTCTCAAGTTCCTGCCCACGCGCCATAAACGGTAAGCTAAAATACTTGTTTGTGAGATGAACCAATGAAATTGGAGCGTGTATCGCACGAGGTTACGTTAATTTGTTTGTTTGTATTAGCCTAGTGAAAAGACGATAACGTCATTTACGCAGAGAGAGAGAGAGAGAGAGAGAGAGAGCAACCTGCCAGTCACCGGTCTCCTCAAAAGGTGAAAACTTTCTCTCTCCATCCAGAAAACACGCAAATTGCTCTCTTCATTTTCCATCGATCAATTGAAAAAGGGGGAAAAAAGAGCTGAAAAAGAGAAATTTACAGATCCAAAACCTGACTTTCTCGTGCTCTATCATCTCACACACTTCTTTCGATCCAGGTAGCTCGTCTTCAATTTTAAATTTTTCTATGCGAAGAACAAAATCCCAGTTTTCTCCCTCAACTTCCGCGGCTTAGCACAGAAACCCTATAAACTCCGATTTTTAATTAGGAGCTCCAGTTGGGTTCAATGTTTGGAATGATATGTATATTCACGATGTGCTAACTTTTGCGTGAACATCCTGTTGGTCCATATCGAAACGAATGATCGTGTTTGATCTCGGGAATTCCCGGAGAGAAGTTCTGGTGGCTGTGATATTGTAATATTTTGTTTTGAGTATGTGGGAGTTTTATTTGTAGATTTATTTTGATTAAAGAATGGTGTAGCTTAATATCAGCTTTATGTCCATTTAAACTAGCTGTCTTTTTTAAACTTTGGGTTTGGTGTTAGTTGATGATGGTTAGGCTGTGATTATGGAGCATTCAGGAACTTGGGTTTGGGATAAGATATATGAGAATTGATTAGCAGATTAAAATTTTGAGTTCTTGAGGAGTGAGTTTCTTGGAGAGGCAGTTAGAGCTAAACTGTTTTGAAGAGCATTTTGTATATACTCATCATTAGATTTGTGTAGAAATGAGCTTAGAAAATGAAGAACATCATTCATTAGGTCCGCCTGCGGTTACCAGCATGGAATCTCAAAAGTAATAACTTTTTTCTGCTGAATATTTAATTTTTGTTTAATGTTTTGCATATGTTTTCAGTTGAGTGACATTGATAATCAATTTGTTTTTTAAATGATTCAGGAAATATAGAATTTCATATACCAGAGATTTTTTGCTGTCATTTAGTGAGCTGGATGTTTGCAAAAAGTTACCCCCAGGATTCGATAAAAAAAATTTGAGGTGAGATTGTGGTCATGGATTATGAATTTCATTTAATTATGAAAATGAGGAAGGCAAAATTTGATCTTTCTGGCATTCATTGGTTATTTTGTGGTTGGAACAGTGATTTTGAGGATACATCACAAGATCGGCAAAGAATTCCTGGCACCTTCTCAGGTTACAGGCGTAATGAATATAGTTCATCACCACCTACGAGAGTGGAATTGGATAATTATTCCCGGGGTCTTCATGGACGGTGGGACAGTCACTCTTGTGGAAAGAGTGATAGAGATAGTGATACCCAATCTGATTGGGATTCTGGTAATGTTTATAGCTCTTTTGTTCTATCAATAGTATTATTTTGTGTTTACTGTTTGTATGGACAACTTTGTCCATTGTATTTTATATTAATACATGTGGTGATTCACTCTATCACCTCAACCTCAACGGTGCTTGGTAAAATTATTCTCGTAGTCAGGGGTTTTATCCACTTCATTTATGTGTTGTTTACAGCGTTCAATAAATCCTATTACATTTGAAATCAAATGATTCTAATGGTATATAGATCATGGACGACGCCATGGTAATCAATTCCGGCGATCTTGGCAAGGTCCTGAGCATGATGGGCTTCTGGGGAGTGGTTCTTTTCCTCGACCATCTGGATTTACGGCAGGAGTTTCTGCACCAAAGTTTCGAGCTACTGATCAATACCATCTAAATAAAAGTAATGAGCCATACCATCCACCCCGCCCTTATAAGGTACTTGTTTCTCTTTGTTATCATTTGCAGACGATGTTTAGACTGGTATTGTGATCACTGTTTCATTCAATTTAGCATAAAAATATATCTCAAAGTATTCTGCTTAAATAATATCTGCCTGGAATTGTAAGATGATCCAGTAGCAATTGAAATATGGTTTTAATAGATATTATTTTGTGATGATATTTTTCCAGGCTCTACCTCATTCAAGGAGGGAAACTAATGACTCGTTTAATGATGAAACATTTGGTTCCACTGAGTGCACTAGTGAAGATAAGGCAGAAGAGGAAGAAAAGAAGAGGTAGGATCTCTGTCTAGAGAACTCTATGCTGATTGTATTTTATTTTTTATGTGTTTAATCTTCTACCACTTCTCTGGTTTTGTTTTCAAATAATAAAAGCTAAAGCATTATAACTTTCCCTCTTAGTTTCCTTTGAGTCATGGAGGAAGGAACAACAGAAGGCATTCCAGGAGAAGAAGATTAATCCTGAAAGACGTAAAGATGACTTTGATCTTTCTGAATTGTTAGTGGACTCCAAAGATGATAAAGGACCTGCAAACAGAAACATGGAATCAGATGAACCTATTCTGGCATCAAAAATTGTTTCTGAAAAATCGTCTCTTTCCATACAAACTCCTGCTTCCAGACCACTTGTACCACCTGGTTTTGCAAGTACAGGTTTGGAGAAGACTTTTGGAATCAAAACTTCAATGCAACCCGTTCTTCACAGGTTAGTATTACATTGGTTTTCAGAATTTAAAATACCCATTATGTCTCTTTTATCTTTTGGCGTGTAATTTTGATTGTAAGTGTCAATAATTGGTTTTCAAAGTTTTCGTTATTTTTGCCATTGCATGATCTTTAATTGCAACATTGAATCAACTACTTGATCTTCATGTACTGGCAGCTTCCCTAGTTATAACATAACGGGAATAAACTTGGGAATCAGTTGAAAATATGGATGCAATTTTGAAATTTCCGTTATTTTGGTTGGAATGGGGAGAGAAACAAATTTATCACTTGAGATCAGCACATGAAATTGACCTTATATAACTAAAATTAGTGGGAATTTTTGGGATCTCTTCCCTATTCATTTGAATTTGACTGGAAAAGACGTGCTGCTTTATACTCTGTAGATGTCTGTATGACACCAATGGTACAAATGCATAACTAAGACATTAACAGAGATGATTTTGTAAGTCACTTAAAGGTTACATTGTGCTCTGCTTTAAAGTGACATGTTAGTTTTCTGTTCCTTGTTTTTGCCAATATTAATATACTGATTGGACAGAACTTGCATGTGGTTTTCATTCAGTAGTTGTACTTTTCATGTTTGTAACTCAGAGATGATTCTGCTAGGACAAAACATGTTTCATTTACTGACTGATGTTGTGTTTCATATTTATCACATACCTTTTCTGTTGCTTGATTAGCAATATATATTCTGTTATGCTTCTATAGGTTGGGAGTTCTGAGATTGAGGGAAACCTGTCAGAGTCCAAAGGCAACCTTCTCTTTAATGGGATTTCTGATGATCTTCCGGCCAAACAGTCTAAACAGCGTGAAGGGGAAACTTCAAGTGAGAAGAGGCTTGAAAGTAAAATCATTCATCTTTTAGACAATAAAAAGAGTGCAAAGGCTCCAAATTTCTCTTCAGCTTTAGGTAAACTTAATGAGACAATAAGCAAGGATTCTCATATATACAAGAGTTATAGTCTTTCAGAAGCCTTTTTAGGCCCAGAAATCATTGAAGTTACTGAACTTGATTCCAAGAAGCTAGCCAATAAAATGTTGACTGAAACCAGTCAAGATGGTTCAACTTCAATTCTAGACAAGATTTTTGGCAGTGCTGTAATAGCAGATGGAGCTGGCTCAACTAATTTCACTGAGGTACTGTTTTGGATTTGAGACACGCATTCAAATTCAAACACATATATAGAAGACATCAACATTGAATCACTTCAGTTGAATGTTCATTTCTAATTCGCTTGCTCAATGTGATTAAAACTAGGTTGATCAATATTTACATGTAGTTTCTTTAGGTACTCTATTTGAAACCTGTCATGTCTAGTTTTGCTTGATGAAATATTTAACGACTTTTAATATTTCTTGATCTTCAGCCTAATGATAGCAATGCTGATGAGACTTGGTCCCTTGACAGTTCCCATTCTTCTAAGTTTGCTCATTTGTTTCTCGATGAAGGTTTGTTGGCGCTTGTTACATGTAACCTGGCTTTAAGTGAATCCGCTTAGTTCTCAATTAAAAACTATGATCTAATATTCTTGTTTTAATCTTGTCTTGGCAGAGAAGAAATCAATGGATGATCTCTCCCATCACAGGCCTAAAGACTTGCTCTCATTAATTAAGGGTGGTGAGAAAGGTGGTTCCCATGATAGGATGGTTACTAAGCATGTAGCGTCAAACTTCCCATTTCAATGCTCTGAATTTGGGGTCAGGCATGTTAGATCAAATTTGATGCCTACGGGAATTGTGAACTCTGAGCAATCATGGAATATTAATGATGTTAATAACTCAGCAGCGGTTCCAACAGTCCTTACATGTGAGGATCTTGAAAAGTCTATTCTGTCAGAAAGCTCTGAAAATGATCCGAGTTTGCCTCCTGTTGAAAGATGGAAAATTCCTGATGCCGAATGTGAGAAGCAAGAAGTTAATGTCAACAATCATGCATCCCAGCACCTTCTTTCATTATTACAAAATAAAACAAGTACAAACACTATACTATCATCTGCCAATCATGATATTAGGCCTTCAGAAATGGTGCAAACTGCTGAAACACCAACTGGTGACATGGCACCTTGTCATTTGATAGACACAAATGCAGAAAATGCTTCTGGTTCAGGGAAGAGTCTAACTCTTGAAGCACTTTTTGGAAGTGCTTTCATGAAGGAACTACAATCAGTTGGAGCACTGGCTTCTGTTCAGGGGTTCATTTGAGTCTGCAAGAGTTGATGTATTCGATTCTAACAGGTTTCAACTTAACGTCGCAGATGATAGTCTCCTCCCTTCCACTGATAACATTGCGTCAAACAGGACTAAATTTGAAAAAAATATTCTACCATTTACTCGAAGAGAACAAATGAAAGCTGATGGCATTGAAGGGCATTTGTTAGGCTTTAATGGTGCTCCATCTGCTGTGGATTCGTCACATCTCCAAGCTGGATTAGAATCTAAACTTGGTGGTTTTGATGGGTCTGCTGAAATTGGGCTTACTGAAGAGGACAATTTACTTGTTGTCGATAATCCTGTGGAACTCCATAATTTCATGGCTGGTAGTGTAAAAGCAGAGTTATTGCCCTCCCACGAGACACCTAATGGTGTAGCTGAGAAACTAACAGCTTTAAAGGCTGTCTTCCAGGATGAAAGGCCTGTTGTCAGAGGGAAAGAAGGTCCACCTTTTCTTCCCGGTCCCTATGATACGAGGGAGCCAGATATTCCATTTCGGAACCAAAATATCCATGCATCTTCTTCAAACCTTCATCCTCAGTTGAATCCTGGAGGTCCTTTGTTTCATTCATTAGATTCACATCCTTCTAACATTGGTTCTCAGATGAAGTTCATGGCTCCCGAAGGCATCATCCATCATGATGCCCCACTAAATCATCAAATTCCTACAACTATGTTTCGTCCTGCCCATCATCCTAGCAATGGACTACCTGGATTTGATCCTCCAATTCATCATCCTATGTTACAGAAAATGCATATTCCTGGAAAACCCCCTCCACCAAACTTGCAACGAGGATTTCCTGGTGTTGCACAGCTGCTGCCACATTCAAATAATGAGATGACTGGTATGCTACCAGAATTGAATCCAATGCTTGGTTTTCCATTGGGGCATGGTCACCGGCAGCACCAACCCAACTTTGCTGGTCTTGGGATGCCGCCAGGTAATTCACTGTCTTGTTTCTTTCTCATCCTTGCCAATTTCAAAATTTTGGAGAACTTAACCCGTTTTATTCTTGGAAAATCCTACAGTAAATGTTACCTAATGTTTTTAGGGTTAAGGTAATTTAAGAAGTATGATCCGACCACATCTAAACTTTAGCACTTCACAAAAAGTTTATCTCATTCAGGATCCCCCAATTCTGTTGGAAAAACAAACAGAAATTTGCCTGTAGTCTATTGTGGGTTGCCCTGGATTATGAACTACCATCGCCATAATGGTTACGTTTAATAATATGCACATTATTGTCTGTTTATTATTTCAGGTCATGACGTTGGCAGTGGGAGCCATCATCCAGAGGCATTGCAGAGGCTTATCGAGATGGAACTCAGGTCAAAGCAGATGAGCCCTTTCGGTGCGTCTGGCCTTAGCCAAGGCCAAGGGGTTTACGGTCACGAGTTAGACATGGGTTTTCAGTATAGATAATGGCTTTTGGTTGTGGTTTTGCCTCTTCTCCCAATGGATTGTTTCTCTCCGAGAATTGGAGGATGAGTTTGATGTTCTTAATTATGGAGGGATTACTCTGGCTCACTGTAATTAAAATGATCATTATCATACTTGAAATTGGCATTTTGGTTGCAATTTGCCCCTTTGTTCTTGTAGAAATTAGAGTAATTCTCTGTATTTTTTTTATTCTTTTCAATAGGACAGATTATATATTTATGTACAAATTATCTCTCTAAAGTAGGAAACTCTAAGAAATGAAAGATACTAATATTAGGATATGATCCTTTAAAATAAGGAATTGTAGAAATCTATTTATAAAATCCCTTAACTAAAGGAATGGTTATAAATCACATTTCTATAATTTCTACACTCCCCCTCAAGCAAAGAATATACACTGTATAATTCCAGCTTAAATATGAATTTATTGAAAACAGGCTTTGACAAAGTCTTAGTCAGAATGTATGTAACTTGTTCTTCTGAAGGAATGTATGAAAGTGTGGATGTTTTTTTGTTAACTTGATCAATAATAAAATGCCTATCAATCTCAACATGTTTTGTCTGATCATGTTGAATTGTGTTCTTGTCAATATGAATAGCAGATTGATTATCACACAAAACTTCAAAGTGATCCTTTTGATTAGTGACAAGTTCTTTCAGTAGTTTAAGTAGCCAAATTCCTTTGCATATTCCCAATGCTAGTGCTCTGAATTCAACTTCAGCACTACTTCTTAAAACGACAGATTGTTTCTTACTTCTCCAAGTTGTAAGGTTTCCCCAAACAAAGGTGCGGTAGCCACTAGTGGATCTCCTTTCAGTAAGGTCTCCGGCTCATCTAGAGTCTGTAAAGATCTTAACAGTTATGTCTTGTGTCTTCTTAAAAATTAAACTGTGTCCTGGAGTTTTCTTCAAGTACTTGAGAATTCTATTTGCTGCTGTCATATGCTCTTCAGTAGGATTAGTCATGTGTTGACTTTTCACATTTACGGGAAAGACTATATCTGACCTTGTCAAGGATAAATAAATTAGTTTCTCAACTAATCTTTGAAATTTCTCTTTGTCTACTAAGGATCCATCTTCTTTGATAAATTTCAAGTTTGCCTCCATTGGTGTATCAATCAGCTTACAACAAAAAAAAACCAGTTTCTTTGAGTAAATCAAGTACATATTTTCTTTGGTTGATCACAAGTCATTCTTTTGACCTTGCCACCTCCTTTCCTAAGAAATAACTTAGTTTTCCCAAGTCCTTGGTTTCGAATTCCTTATTTAACAATTTCTTCAAATTGCAAATCTCTTCTTCATCATCTTCGGTAAGAATTATGTCGTCCACGTACACAATAAGGATAGCTTTCTTATTTGTAGAAGTTACCTTGATGAAAAGAGTATGATCGGCGAGGGACTGCTTGTAGCCGTTTTTCATAATGACTTTAGTGAACCTCTCGAACCAAGCTCTGGGTGATTGTTTTAATCCGTATAGAAACTTGTTGAGCTTGCAAACCTTGTTGCTTCCTTCAACAGACTTTAAGCTAGGTGGAAACTTCATATAGACTTCTTCTTCCAGCTTGTCATTAAGAAAAGCGTTTTTTACTTCAAGTTGGTGTAATTTTCAATCGTAATTTACAGCCAAACTTAGGAGTACTCGAACAGTATTCAGCTTCTCCATGGGTGCAAAAGTTTCTGTGAAATTTATCCCATATGTTTGCGTAAAGCCTCTGGCCACTAGTCTAGCTTTGTATCGTTGAATACTACCATTGGAGTTATACTTTACAACAAATATCCATTTACATCCAACAACCTTTTTTCCTTGAGAAATGTCTGTAACGGTCCAAGTAGCATTTTTCTCTAGTGCACAAATTTCTTCTTCAACATTCCTTCTCCATTTTGAATCCTTTAGAGCTTCAGCTATGCTTGTGGGAACCTGTTCTTTATCCAAGGTTGTTGTAAATACTTGAAAAGACGACAACAATTAATTATAACCAGCAAATTTTTCAATAGGATGCTTGGTGCACTGTTTAACTCATTTTCTAATAGCAATAGGGAAGTCATCTAGAGTAGGGGAAGTTGACTTATTGATTTATTTTTCTATTTCGGTAATTGGACCCAAATCCAATTCTCGGCAAGCATCAGATTGCAAAACAACCTCAGGAATATGTTTTATTTTCCTTGTATAGACACGAAGTTGTTTGATTAGTGATGTTTGTGGAAGATTTTGAATGAGAGTAGGTGTATTTTCAGAAATGGTGTTTAAAGTAGGTGTGGGTGAAGTAGTGACAGGTGACAAATCTGTAGGTAAAGACAAAATTGGTGGCAATTATGAAGGTTGAGAATGAAGAGTATGAGGAAATACATGACGTGGCTGAAAATCCTTCCATGTCTCCCCCTGAATTTTAGCCTGAGTGAAATAGGGATCATGCTCATAAAATTTTATATCCATAGTGGTAAAAAATCGTTTAGAAGGAGGATGATAACATTTATAACCCTTCTTAAGTGAATAATACCCAACCAGTACACACTTTAACGATTTAGATCTAACTTGGACTTATTAGGAGCAATGTTTTAGATAAAAACAGTATAGCCAAATACTTTAAGTGGCAGAAAGGATGATATAGGTTTAAAATGGGGAAAATATTGCAAAAATATAGATTGATGTGTTTGAAATTGTAAAACCTTATTAGGCATTCGATTGATTAAATATGTGGAAGTTAATAAGGCTTCCCCCACAAATATTTTGGAACATTAGTGGTAAATAGAAGAGAACGGGTAACTTCAAGAAGGTGTCTTTTTTTTTCTTTCGGCAATGCCATTTTGCTGTGGGGTTCCAACACAAGAACTAAGCTGAACTATGCCATTTTCCCTTAAAAAAACACCCAAAGACTTGGCAAAAAAGTTACTGCCATTATCAGATTTAAATAGTTGAATTTTAGACCCAAATTGATTGAGAACCATGCTATAAAATTGGGCAAAAACACCAGCAGTTTCATATTTATCTTTTAGCAAATAAGTCCAAGTTATCCTATTGTGATCATCAATGAAAGTGATAAACCACTTACAATTATCAGCATTATTCACCCGAGAAGGGCCCCAAATATCACTGTGGATCAAAGTAAAAGGGTGATAAGGTTTGTATGTAAAAGGATAATAAGTTGATTTAGTATGTTTGGCAAGAGAGCAAACTTTGCAAGAAAAAGAATTTGGCATTTTATGAATGAATAAAGCAGGAATTTTTTTTTGCAAGATAGTGGAAACTAGGATGGCCTAAACGATAGTGTGTTGAGTTAATCGATCGATGGAATAGGCCAAGAGGGGGTGAATTGGTAATAAAAATTTCGGTAGAAGTTTTTGCAGAAAATTGAAAAAATTTGCACAGCGATTTAGAATGGTTCAACTTTCTCAACCAAAGTCTACGTCTACTACCTTAGCTATCCACACTAAGGATTTTCCACAAATCCACTAATTTGTCTTTCTTTTGAGGACAAAGAGTAACCTTACAAATCCCTCAAGAATTATACCCCAAATTCTTGAGAATATTCTCTCCCAAAGAGAACAATACAAATTTTGCAAACTTACAAGAAAATCCTCACAAGGCAAGATGTTTGCACAATTCTAGAACAAATAAAGAACACTCAAGAATAATATAATTGATCACAATAAGTTTTCTTGAAAGCAAAAATGAATATTGAATGAAATAGGCTTGAAAATGCTCAAACTTGAGGTTTGATGCTTTCTCTTTGATTCTCTCTTGATTCTTGTTGATTGTTCTTTCTTATTGTTTATCAATGGCTTCTAAGCTTGTTTAAATACTCCTTCAATTTATTCTGAATGTTGGGGATGATTAGTGGAGTCAATGGAGCTGTTTAAGTGTGAAAACAATTAATAAAACTGCTTCAATTTATTCTGAATGGCTTCTAAGCTTGTTTAAATACTCCTTCAATTTATTCTGAATGTTGGGGATGATTAGTGGAGTCAATGGAGCTGTTTAAGTGTGAAAACAATTAATAAAACTGCTTGGAGCATGAGGGAATCGATTCCTGCAATGTAAAATTCAAATATTTCGACCGTTGAACAGGGGGAATCGGTTCCCTCCGAGCATTTTGTTATTTTTCGGAGCCAAACCATTAAGGGGGAATCGGTACCCCCTTGGGGGGGGAATCGATTCCCTTTGGGCAATTTGCCCATTTTGGTTTGATTTTAATTAAGAAATGATTTTTGACTCGATTAAGGCTCGAAATACTTTGTAAATTTGTTTAACATATTTTTACACTTTAGTAAGGATTAAAATGAACTTTGAAAGATTTGGAGTAATATTTTGATATTCGAATAATTATATCGAATATACTTTAGAAAACCTTTTGTAAAATCTTAAAATTCATTTAACTTAATTTGTTATATCGAAACATCAAAATGTTTTCAACAATCTCCCCCTTTTTGATATAACAAAACATTTTAGTAATTTTAAGATTTTCTAATTGAAAATAAATTTTGAAATCAGTTTTGAAATTACTCCCCCTTACTATTACACTTATCCCCCTCTTTGTTAAATCAAAAAGACTTTAAAACGTTTTTAAACAAAGTTTTGAAAAACATTAGCCAATTGATTTAGAAATTTAAAGCTCTAAGCTGCTAAGATCACAATCAAGAGAAGACATTAGCCATTAGTTTCATAATCAATATTCATAACGAATGTGAAATGGTGAAATTGGTCATATTTCTAACATGATGTAAATGATGCACAAAATTAAGCAAATCCTCATATATAGATAAGTTCAAATCATCCAAAAACAATATCGAACAAATTCAAACATCCAACAACCAAAGTAAAACAATCCAAAAACATTCAAAATGTTGAAAACAATAAGGTCAAAGCTAAACAAGAAAACAGGGCCTAATCGTCCATCGGTGGATCAGGAGGAGATAAGTGTGTCCAAATGTTGGCCATATCACGTGAAAGTGTATGGACCCTCTCATCCAAAGTGTCGAAACGATGATTCATCATTTCGTTGGTAGCAGTCAGATGTGATTCGATGGATATAAACCTCATATCAAGATTCTCCATAAATGATTAGAAGTATGGAGGCACTTGATCTTCTTGTTGTGCTTACTCCTCGTGCTGCTCCGACTAATCGTTGGCTTCGTCAGCTTCCGGAGGTTGCTCATTAATACGAACCCATAGACTCGTTTCTTCATTGATCTTCCATCCTGATTTAGTTAAAGAAAAGAGATTGATTTGGTTTTTGAGTGGAAAAGCGGCATCCCCTTAAGCTCAGCTTTAGAAAATAGATTACTCAGAATACAACCGTAAATTAGAGATGAATAGAGTTTATTATTAGGAACAAGGTTTATGGTTACGACAATTTTGACAAAGATGATCTGAGGTAGGTTTATTTTAAGATTATTTTGGACGCAATGTAGCCAAAAGATATCCAAATCTCGAAGAGTGTAGTATCTGCCTCCGGATGGTCGAAACCACCAAGAGATCATAAGATGAAGAAAATGGTCATGGAGATCTAAAACACTCACACTATCCCTTCGTAACCTACCATTTGTTTTTCATTGTCTAAGCATGCATTATCTAATCCTAATGCGTTGGCTATGTAATCCGGGTCAATGTAAAAGAATTGTCCTAGAAGATAGGATCGTATTCCTATGTTTGCGGTTTTAGCCCAGTTTTGAACACAAACGACATTAGAGTAGAAGATACGAACGAGTTGATGATAAACTATTGGTTCAAGTTCGAAGAGTTTATCAAATTTCCACTCTTGTAGGGTAGGAAGATGTCGAAAATTGATGTCTAACATGACTTAAAGAGATGGGATTCGTTCTTCCCGGATTTTGTAAGACTCAAAGTATTGAGAATACTTAAAGAAAAGATTTTGTTTACGACCGAGTTCATTGAAGCACGAAGATCATCGGGATTAGGATTAGGAATTTGTTGGATAGGAGGAGGATTTAGAGGTGAGTTAAGAGGTTGGTTTGATCAACTAGAGGAAGGTCTAGAACGTTTATGAGACATGACGTAAGATAATCGGAATGGAAATAGTAACCTGCAATTTTAAAACACATGTATGCAACAAATATCAATCCCAAAACTCAAATGAGTCCTCAATATTTCAAGGTTCTTTAAAACAATCCTAATGTGCAAGGTTTTTGAAAACTATTGAAAAATAAGGTTTGAAAGTCTTAATCCGTATATTTTGCATGAAAGACAACATAATTGAATCAAAAACATCAATAATTCTAGAAAATAATAAATATTTTTTTATTTCAAAATTCACAGAAATTTTTGAAAAATTGTTCGTTTTTGATGAATTTTTGTTGTAAAATCTAGTTTTTAAACACTAAACAATCAATGTCCGATATAATATTTAACCTAGAACTAATTCAAACTACTCCTAAAATAAAAAAATTGATAAAATAGAAGTTTTAGAAAAATACCTTGAATATTTTCAGATTTGAGTGAGATTGGATGAAGTTTGCACGATTTTAATTATTCTAGCAGGTTTAGGAGATAAAATATGAAGTGATTCCGACTAGAAATCGATGTTTTGAAGCAAAGTAGAGATTTAGGGAGATGGAGAGAGTGAACGGCGGCAAAGAAGAGAAGAGAGGGTTTGAGAGAATATGTTGTTTGGGCGTTAAAAATAACAGACCCTGTGGGGGGTATCGATTCCCTCCAGGGGGAATCGGTTCCCCCTTTAAGGGGGTATCGATTCCTCCTGCACCAAAATGCTAAAAATCTGATTTTAAACAGTTAGAATGCTAAATTAATTTGCTCTAGTGGTATTGGCGACTCATATATTGAAAATTAATCATGTTCAATCAATCAATTTTATCTTTAAACTACATTTGAACATAAAATTAATTTTTACTAAGAATCATAAACACCCCCTAACTAATAGCAAAGAATGCAATCAAAATTATTATTATTATAAACATTTTTCTTAAAAGTGCTAAAATTAATTTAAACACTAATTGAAGATCGGTCAATTAAACCTAATTCTCTCCTAAGTGTCCAAAATCTTTCTTTGTCTAAAGGTTTTGTAAAGATATCCGCTAATTGGTGCAAATTATCAACAAGTTGATAGGATTCTCTAATGAAGTGATGTCTAATTTCAATATGCTTAGTTCTAGAGTGTTGGATGGGATTTTTAGTGAGACAAATAACACTAGTATTGTCACACTTGATAGGAATGATACCTACTTCAATTCCATAATCAAAATATTGTTGTTTCATCCATAAAACTTGTGCACAACAACTACAGCCTGAAATGTATTCCGCTTCAGTGGTAGATAGTGCAACACAATTTTGTTTCTTTGAAAACCAAGAAATCAGCATATTTCCAAGGAATTGGCAAGTACCGAAGGTGCTTTTCCTATCTAATTTGCATCCTCCATAATCCGCATCAGAGAAGGTATGAAAGCTAAAGCTAGAGTATCTAGGATACCAAAGTCCTAAACTATGAGTGTCCTTAAGGTATCTAAAGATTCTCTTGACAGCTAGTAAATGTGATTCCTTAGGACATGATTGAAATCTAGAACATAAGCAAACACTAAACATAATATCCAATCTACTTGCGGTTAGATAAAGTAAAGAGCCAATCATAGACCTATAAAATTTATCATCCACACATTTACCTCCTTCATCTTTGTCAAGCTTTGTTGATGAGCTCATTGGAGTGGCATGAGGCTTCCCGTTTTCCAGTC